TGGTTAGGAAAAGCGTGAGTGAACCCGTCAAACTAAGGCGTGATAGTATTTGAAGCACAAGGCTCTATTTTTTGTGATTAGTTTTTTGCAGCCAAGGACTAACATGTGTGGTACCGAGAAACCTCTTTTGTGTAACACTTAAGCCTGAACTGTAACCTTTATGAGGGCCATTTATTTTGCTTTGATTATATTCTAATGCTATAGATTCAGGCGTACGAAATCAATGAATATATTTCCATTAGGGACTATTTTAGTCATACTCATGATTCATCTAAGTGGTGAATGTATTTCGTTGTCATAAGATAATGGATGCTATTTACATCAATGTGTAATTATTTGGGCATACATTAATTTTGGCGATAAAGGTGGTTTTGGGAAAAACGAGAATATTTCCTTTGTAGACCCTCATGTCCTAATCGCATTCTTATCACATAATAACTTGGTTAAAATTTAAACAATTAGCTAATGATAAATGGGACATTGAAGCTTGTTAGGACCAAAGTAATTGGCCATAAAATACATGTGGAAACCCGAAGATATAAAGAATAAAATAAATAATAAAATTACATATATTTATCAAACTCAAATATTTCTTGTAAATCTAACGGTGGCAAATTAAATAATTACTGAACAATCTTAATTAATTTTAAACCTAAAATAAATTTATGGTGAAAGTTTTTAATTTGGAGGTAAGATTTATTATTAAAAAAAAATAGGGGACAAGTTAGTAAGTATATTTTGATATAATAATAGTTATATTTTATTTAAATTAATGGTGAGAGGAAAAATAATAATAATATAAAACAAAGGATAATTATTTAGAGTTTTGTTTAGACATATAAAACAACCCTAGGGTTCCTAACAATACTATAGCAGCAGCAGCAGCAGCAGCAATGTGAGACAGGAAGAGAGAGCAAGAGATAGAAAAGAGAGAAGGAGAGAGAAACTTCCAGTACGTTTGTGGCTCAGCAACTCTAAGGTAACAACAAAGTTGTTCTTGTTCTATTATAGTATGTGGTTTACATAGTAATGGTGCATGTGGGTGTTGTGAGTTGTGGAAGAAAAAGGAACGGTTTGGCTGATTGGGTTAGTGTTTTGTGTATATTATTATCATGCACAATTTTAAAGCGAATTAAGGAGTTAAAGTCGTCGAAAAAAAATTTGCACAAAATCACAAACTTTAAAAATTGAGGAATCATATCAAACGGATGAATTTTGAACTGAAATTTTTATAGTAGATTAATTACATATTAAACCCCATATCAGAATTTTCTCATAATTTTTGGGAGTCAAAATCTATATGAACTGGTGCATTCAAGTCTGTCCAGAAAACTGGTGTAAAATAGTAAATTTGGAAGTGTTGTTCTCTTTGGGTATAAATCCAAAAATTATCAAATCAGCGTCATTAGAACCAGTTACGAGTCTAGTTTCTTAAATTTTTGGCCATGCATTGATTGCTCATGTATACTAAGAGAACCATTAATTTCTTTAAAGTGCTGCAAAAATAACCTGTTTGGATATAATTAATTGTAAATAATTATTTTGATAAGAAAATCAAGTAAAACCAATTGGTTTTGAAACTTAGGATATATTAGTTGATATTTGAAGGGTTTTAGAATTTTTTGAACAGCGTGGAGTGGGTTTTTAATTTTCAAAGTTAGCGAATAGATTGAGAAAACTTGTTTAAAATTATGTTTTATTTTAAAGTTACTTTTAATTAAATTTCGATCTGAACCCATGTCTTGGGTAATTTGAGACCTTGAAAAACATGAACTTAGGTATTATTTAAGAGTAACAGTGAGTGAGGTTGAGCTGTGTTAGTGCGCTTTAGTGTGTGGTACTTAGTTTATTATTTTCCTTTGTATTTTTAAATTAGTAGTGACGTGTAATTTTCATACTTGGTTCAGGGCACTAGTTGGACTTTCATACTCTATTCGAGGATTATATTATTTCGTTTTCAAGTGAATAGTTGCATGCTACATATTTTTATAAATGTTTCCCTATCCTGAACTGTTGGAAAATTAAATTGTTATTTCAGGACTGAACTGTTTTGATAAATTATTATATTATCAATGGAATTAAATTATTTTTGAAACATGTGTAAACTTGGCATACTGTAAACTATTTGTTATGGTCTCATGTTTATAATGGTGAACTACCATGTTTTACGAAACTGAATTGTATTGATTATTGGGCCCATCTGTATATAAAAGTCCAAGGAAATTATTCCATTGTGTATGGTAACTCTGGCCACTAGGGAATAGATCTGGGTTGGGCCGTGACGACTCTAGTGCTCAACGATTGTAAGGAAAAGACCTAGGCTAGGCTAGGTGACCTTCAATCTGATCGTCTTAGAGAAAAGGTTCGGGTTGCCACCCTGAGGATGACTCTTGGTTTGATATTGGATCCAACGGGCTTATTGCCTTGAGAACTTTGTGGCATGTTACTTGTTATTCTTGGTACCTAGAAAATTATTGGTGATTATGTTATAATCTGTTTTAAGTGGAGAATATCATTTATTATATTCTTGAGAGACGTGAGTATTTTAACTGTTGAACTGTGAACCTTCTTTTTGAAACAGATTGTCTTTATCAAAACTGTATGCCAATCTAGTTTCTGTGATATATATCTTATTTTGGAATTGAACCCTTTTTTTAAAACTGTATTTACTATCTATGTTACTTACTACTCACTGAGTTATCAGCTGACTTAATTGTTTATCACTTCCCGGTGTTAGAAGGACTTAGAGTGGACTCATGGCGTAGCGAGGACTCAATTGCATGGACCTTTAGGACGTTCATTATTTTGTTTTAGCTTGTTATGTCGGTTTTGTGCATACATTATGGTTGGATTTTATTTAGAATTATTTTATTTTGTGGGCGGTTTGCGTTCCATTTAGTATATGTTTTTGGAAATTGCATGGTTATGGCTAGTTTTACCGTTTATACTTGTGACCTGTCACTGGATTGGGTTTTGATTTATTTATTTCTAGGCTATCGTCACATTTATTCTTTGTGGTTTTGGGTTCATGTTTAGGCTTACGTATGTCTTGGGCTAAGTCCCTGTGGGCCACGGCCAGTCATGCCTAGTTTTGGGGTGTGACAATACCGGGGGTTGACTGTCACAATTTCATGTGCAGGGACCGATGTGGGATTTGACCAGAAGTGCAGAGGGTTGACTGTCATGCTTTCATGTGTAGAGGCCAAAGTGAGATTTGGTGCAAAATGCAAGGGTGCAAAGTGTAATTTACCCAAGATTTTTTTATAATTTATTGTTTGGAATTGACTTTTTTAGTAACTTTTTTATTCATTTTTTTTCTTTAGTAAAAAAAATTACACTTTTAAGTTTTTTCAACTAGACGGACCAAAAATTAAATAAAAGAAAAAAATTGAAAAAAATTCCACTAAAGACAAAAAACAATTAATTTTTTTTTTGTTTTTAGTGAATATTTATTGAATTTTTTCAAAATATTTTTACTTTTTAAATTTGTTGGTTATTTTGACACTTTGAAAGTTAGAAATGTAATTTAAGCATGTCAATAAGGATCTAAAAATTTCTTATAGATAATAAATGTCAATTCGTATCAAGCAATTGTGTTAAGGTTCTCTTAGCCTCAATGAAAAGGACTTTATTGTGTTCTGTTAAAAAGATAAACCAAAGCTTGCAGTTTAAATTCGTAACAAAATGGGAGGGAAGACTGGCCATAAAATTACAATTGATTAATTATATAAATGATAACAATATATTACCTTTAGTAAGAGCAATTTCGAAGCTTTAGACCGACCAAGTTTTGAAATTATAAGGCTAATAATCTACTCCTACGAAAAGTAAGTACAGTGTATAAAGTAGAGTGCAAGAAAGGTAGGGCTTTTCATTATCTTGATGTATCCCACAGGATACCCCTTGTTTGCCACATGTCACCTTTGCATTGGATGGTTTAAATGTAATGCCAACAAAATCTTTGTTTACTAGATAGACCTCAAAAGAATTTTATCACAATTTTAAAAAAATATATCACTGAAAACAATATATATACATATATATAAATTTTTAGATGAATGTCAAACCATTTAGGAAAATAAATGGGTGTGATGTTAAAATGTGCTGATGTAAATGTGAGATAGCTGTTTTTAACGGTCCGCCATGTGAGACGGCAGATGAAGTTGGTGAAAACTTGCACGTGCTATGGCATTTATATAATTTCATTCACCATATTGAATTAAATCAAAAATTATGTGTTGTGTCTTAATTAAGTAGGATTGACTACATGAATTTTTTTTGTCATTTTATTTTATCAATAGTTATATATTTAGTTAAATTAAATAAAAATATATTTTTTTTCCCTCCTCTAACATGTCCATTTATAGTGATTGTATCACTCATTCTTACCGTTATATCAATTAGTCTTTATTATATATGACCAAATTATCTTAACTTATTCTCTCAATTTTTTTTTAATAGGTGTTATTCCTATAATTTTATGAATATGTTTATTTCTAATTTTATCTTTTAAAATCTGATCACATATCCATAATTCTAGTAATCGAAATAAAATCAAATTACAAATTATGCCACCACACATGAGAAAATTTTGTCTTCAATATGTTCTTATCTTCAATAGGAACATCTCGTGGTTCTTGTTCAAGTTGTTTTTAATTCCACATGTTAGGACCACTAATGGTTAAGAACTTCTATCACTGATTGGAGTGGACTTCAAGGCCACATCAATTGAGAACAATTTGCAAATTCCAACACATACATATAATAAATGTATAAAAAGATAATGGAAATGGACTCTTTAATTTAACCATATATGACTGTTTACCACAAATGTTTCCTTTACCATGCATAGAGGGTAATCAATTTGTCTAACATGAAGACTTGACTTTAATTGTCTTATTTATAATTTATTTTTTTATGTGATAGGCACTGTGATAGTATTAAAATTTTGAATTTTAAGAAAGATTTTGCAAGGAAGAATAAATAATAAAAAATATATAAATAAATGAAATATAATATTCTTTTTTTTCACTTTTTCTTTTCCTTTCCTTCCTCTGGCAAATTTCTAGTTTTCAATGAAATACACTTGTCTAATACTAAAACTTGACTTTAGTTGTCTTATTTACAATTCATTTTCTCATGTTAAAGGCATTATGGTGGTGTTAAAATAATGAATTTTAAGAGGGATTATCCAAAGAAGAACAAGCAATTGAAGAAAGAAAGAAAAAAATTAGTAAATATAAATTTTTTTTTTTTTTTACTTTTTTTTTTCTCTTCCAAATTTTTCTTTTCTTTTCTTTTCTTTTCTTTTTTTTTTTATGAGAAAAAGAGAAGGAATCTTAATGAAATGCACTTTTTCAGTATGAATACTTGACTTAAGTTGTCTTATTTGCTATTCATTTTTTCATGTGATAGGCAATGTGTTATTATTAAAATTATGAATTTTAAGCATGATTTATAGAGAAAAATAATGAATAATAAAAAGTAAATAAAATATTTTTTTTCACTTAAGCGTGTAATTGTTTCTGACAAATGTTTCCTTACTATGCATAAAATGAAAGGACTTGTTTTTTTCCTTCTTTTCTTTTATATATATATCTATATAATAAGGGAGGACTGTTTTTGAAAATGTCCCAAATGTAACAGAGATACATTTGGTTTTAACGGCCAAGATGAATCCTGAGTTTAGATCAATGGTCTATATACATTTTCCCACCCGTTTGAGTTCATCTCTCCCTCTCTCCCACGTCCCTAAACACGTTCTCTTCAACTCCCTCTCTTCCACGTTCTCCATCTCTCCCACGTTCTCTGTCACAGTGTCTCTAATCACCACAGCCATTGAAGACCCTTCGAACCCTTCGATACCCACCCTCTCTCTTCAATACCCAACCCTTCGATACCCACCCTCCCTCTTCGCTACACTACTCCTCCTTCCCTTACAACCCTTCTCTTTGACCTGACCGAGGCTGTCACCGACCGAGCCTCCCTCCATCCGACGATTGAGTCGAGTCTCTCTCTCCGACGATCGAGTCTCTCGCCTGACTTGCTTCTCGCCGCTCAGTCTCGCCGGACTCTCTTCTGTCGACACTCTGTCTTTTGTCGACAGATCTGTCTTCTCTCGACTCTCTCTCTCTCCGACCAGCCCGATTCTGTCTCCGACCCGACCCAGCGACTCCAACCTACAGGTATATAACTACAAATTGAAATCTGTTGTTGTAGAATTTAGGTTTTTTTTTGGATTTTTTTAAGGGGGCAAAAAAATAAAAGTTAAATCTGTTGTTGTTGTTGTAGAATTTGGGATTTTTTTTTTAGGGTTTTATGTAAGGGGAAAAAAAAAGAAAATTGAAATTGAAATGTGTTGTTGTAGAGTTTAGAATTTGTTCGACGCTCTGGTCGCTAGCAGAGACACAGCTCTCCCAAATTCTACAAATTGAAGGTGAGCAAATTTAATTTGTAGTGGCTATGCATTTTATTCTCCCACAGGGTTATTGGAAATGAGATTCTCCACTGCTATTTATGTTTGAACATCTAATTGATGCCATTCACTTCATTGCATAAAGCTGCATGCTCCTTCTTTAAATTCTGAAACAAAAAATAAAAATTAGAGACAACTACAAGAAATTTATAACCAAACTTGGTATTTGCAGACTCATGTTTCTTCTACCCTTAAAGCTTCCCTTAGATTTTCAGCTTTAGCAAATGCAATTACGCTCAAGAATCTCATAAGAAAGGGAATTCCGGCGGTTTTACGGCCTAAGGTCTGGTTTTCGCTCTCCGAGGCGGCTAAGAAGAAATCAACGATGCTTGAGAGCTATTACAATGATTTAATTAAGGCTGTCAAGAGTAAGATCACGCCCGCTACAAGGCAGATTGATCAGGTGACTTTTTTCTTTCAGCATTACATTGATTATTGTGGCACATTTATCATCATGTGAAAATTGGATGGTTGATCAGTTGTTTCAGATACAATGTTTATGATATAATGATCATTGTAAATTTGTAATGTTTGATGTTTGTGGGACTCCACTTCATTACAAAAGATGGATTGTTTTGCAATTGGATAACGGATTCTTATCTTAATAATGCTATTTGTTTGATCCTGAACATGAAATCTCCAGGTCCAATTGAGCTTATTTAGTTTGCATTACATTACTTAACAACATAATTTTTTATCATACATTATTGTGGCACATTTATCATCATGTGAAAATTGGATGGTTGATCATTGTAAATTTGTAATGTTTGATGTTTGTGGGACTCCACTTCATTACAAAAGATGGATTGTTTTGCAATTGGATAACGGATTCTTATCTTAATAATGCTATTTGTTTGATCCTGAACATGAAATCTCCAGCCTCCAGGTTCAATTGAGCTTATTTAGTTTGCATTACATTACTTAACGACATAATTTTTTATCATACATGATGCTTGCTTGAGGACAATGTTTACTGAGGGAAGAATTTTCTGTCATTGTCAATATCCAGAATGGAATAGAAATACTCGAA